TTTTAGTATCCTTCTGTAGAGTATCTTCTTCATCTGGAAGAAGATTATCCAATAATCCTTGTTATACAGGAGAACCGATATTACAGAACAATTTATACTTCTAACAAGATTTTTATGTTTCTTAATTCATTGATTAGCTTCCGGAAGGCATCTTTTGCTATTCCAATGCATAAATTGTAACCCGCTCTTTTTTTTGCTGGCAACGATAATAAAGCATGCCACCATCTTTGTTCAGTCAGAATTAATTCAGCTTGTCTTTAGAACGTACTATGAATGATCTTTAAACATTGATTGGTTTGATTTTTATGGCTTAACAACATTTTGATGTTTATTTAAAATCAGAATATATTTTTAGATTGTAAGAATATTTTTTTTTTGCGGGGGGGATAATAATTTACTGATAAATGTCTTATTAATTAACCCATAGATTAGGGAGAAGAGGTGGATTCATACTTCTTCCAAGTTTATTTCTGCATAAGTGAATATAATGAAACTAACTGGAATTGAAACTGGCTCTCCGGTTAACCATTCCTAGTCTTTAACCATTATACAACTCGCACATTCCAAGCTGGTATCCTTAAATGGTCACCCATCTAGATATTTACCAAGCTCAACATTGCTTAACTTCGGTGATCGTACGCTCTCTTAACACGTCCTGCGTATGACGATAAACGCCATCCGCGTCCTGGGTAAGACGATAAACTACGTCCAACAGCAAGGCCTCTGATCAGGGGACTTTGAAGAGCTGGTGTTCCCAGGTCAACCTTAACCCGGAGTGGTAGCACCTATCAGGGTCCCAGCTATGGGCGAATAGTTAAGCCTCAAACTGAGGTTAAAACTATAAAAGTGTAAAAATAGGTTTTAATACCATAAATACTTTATAAAAAATTCTTACCAGCAATATATTATTACCAACCATACATATTTGATGAAAAATATTACCAGAAATAGATTTTTTTAAAAATATTACCAGCAATACATTTTTGAAGAAAAAAATAGTAGAAGAAAAACATTTTTGAAGAAAAAAATATTACCAGCAATACATTTTTGAAGAAAAAAATATTACCAGCACTAAAATATTTTGTCGGCATTAAATAAACCACTGAAGTTGATTTGCCAAACAAACCCAACGATGTCTTAAAGTGATGTGGCCTTTTTATCATTTCTTACGTTATTTATATTGAGAATAATGTATGTGTCCAATGTGTTGGTAGTATCAGTGTTTCAGCTGTTGTACCTCAAGTCCTCCTTCAGGGGATTATCAGTTAGGGTGACCTTTCGCAAATTTCGATCTACAGGGGTAGATTTCTTGCGTCCTGCTGAGCATGTCTATAGATAGTTTGGCTTGTCCATTTTTCATCATCATCATCATCATCATCATCATCATAATCATCATCATCATCATCATCATCATCCACTTGACTTTTGTAATCGTAACGGGCCATATTGAATTTCCTCCACACCGGTCTATCAACTGCAGCCATCAGCAATTCTGGTAAACTCATAATTATCCATTGTTTGACATTGTCCAACCAGTTTTTGCGTTGGCGTCGTCTCCTACGTCTACCTTTAACAGTGCCTTGGATGATGATCTTACACAGGCTCTCGTGCCTTGTAACTAAACCACGCCTTTTTTTTTCTCCGCTCGACAGTGGCGAGAAGAATTTTTGGTGGCCCACAAAACTTTTCCGCTCAAACTCATTGGTTTTATTTTCCCCAATAGATGATGCCAAGGAGTTTTCTCAAGCATTTGTTCTCAAACGCTTGAATATTTCTCAGTTTCTGCCAACAGTGTCCACGTTTACAATCCATATAAGAGAATGGAAAACCTTAAGCGATTTTTAAAGTCTTTTCTTTTGAGAATTTATTTTGCTGCTCCATATTCCTGCCAATTTGGCCATCGCTGCTATGGCTGCGGAATTCTGTGTGCGGATTTCAGAATTGCAGGTACCATTTTTAGACAAAGTTGCTCCCAAGTATTTAAAATTGTACACCCCCTCCTGTGAATTACCGTTCATAGTAATACAGACACAGATGTTAGTGTTTATATTATTAAACATTACTTTAGAATTATCGGAGCTGACTTTTAATTCTTGCTCTTTAGACAAGTTTGTTGGTCAAGTCCTGAAGTTCACTGTTACGACCTACAATGAATTCAATGTCGTCTGTAAAACGTAGGTTATAGAGGAGTCTGTCACCAACAGAGATTGAAGGATCAAAGTCAATCAAGATTTCTAATATGATTCTTTCTAGAAATAGGTTGAACAATGTTGGTCAAGTCCTGAAGTTCACTGTTATGAGCTGCGATGAAAGCAAATGTCGTCTGCAAAACGTAGGTTATATAGGAGTCTGTCACCAATAGAGATTGAAGGATCAAAGTCATTCAGGATTTCTTAAATGATTCTCTCTAGAAATAGGCTGAACAATGTTGATGAAAGTACGCATCTCTGTCGCACACTGAGATTTGTCTGGAAGAATCCTCCATTTTGTTTTTTCCAGAAAACTGCACTGGTGGCATCTTTATATATTCGGCCTGGATGATTGGATAATTCCATTATCTACATAGAATTCTCAAAGGATTTGCAAGAGACCTCCAATGCCATACACGATCAAATGTTTTCTAGGAATATTTTATTACTGTTTAGTCGCCTTTGATTCTATTATATTTGTACTACAGGTATTTGTCGCACATTTACTATGCCATAAAACTTCCGAGGTAACATTTTTATCCACTACTTCAATGGAAAAATCTGAAGATATAGCTGCAGCCTGCCGGCAGCTGCTACTCTGGCACACTTAATAATACATGCATCTCCACAACTTTGCGGCTTTTAGCAGTTTTTCGCCCTTTTCTAACACTCCAGTTCCCGTTCCATTATCCATTCACAAAAGCTTGTCAGAGGTGGCTTGCTACTTTCACCTATCATTCTTGACTACAGAATGGCCTATGGGTGTTACATTTTCCAAGCCAGCCTTCCTCATAATATAATTTCAATTGTCTTTTCCTGATTCTGAGTATAAGTGATTTTTGTTGACATTTTCTTTCAGACTTAGATATTGCTTCCTCGTCCTGTTTAGGGAATTCTCGGTTTTCTGTGGAACCAAGTGTCAGTTGCCTCCAGTTTTCTCCTCATCCATTGGAAGATTTCCCAGCATTCACTGTTGTATAACAGGATGGATATCGCTTAGCAACCCACTAATATCTTATTTGTTTATAAGGAAATTATTCTGTCTCTCAGCACCTTACTTACCTCTTGGAATTCCTCATTCGCCATTCCAATGTTTCTTCAGATTTCGGTGTCACTCTTTCCAGTCTCTGTTAAAACGTTTCCCAGATATTTAAACGTCTCTACTTACTTGAAGTTATTCCTTTGCATGCCGTGTCTCTTTTAGTGCTGAGACCAGGAGGTCCTGTGGTTTACTTACCGTGTCTACTACCAACATAGTGCCAGGTGAGAATCTTATATTGTTAAGATTATGCCAACCAATAACAAATTCTAGTCAGGTATCTAGATACTCTTGGAACGGCCTCGCTGGGGGAGAGGTGGATTAAATCTGGGGTGAAGGCATATCGTTCCGGATGTCTCAGTTATTTCCCATGTCCCCAACTCTCCAGGTTTTAGTTCACAACCGCTGTAGCCTGGTATTGAACTCAGAACTTTTGGGTCTAGTCACTGGAACTAACCAAGAAAAACCCGGAAGAGACATGGCACGGAGAACTAGAACAATCTACCCCACTGTGGACGAAATAAATAATTCGGTTCGAAATTTTAATCGGCTGAAGAAAGCCGGAGCGTACTACGGCCGAAGTTTGTGAATATGGCAGTGAAGAGGTAAATAACGGTCCGAGCAATGTAAATAATGCAAGTAATCATAATACCTAATCTCAGAGATCCAATCACCTGAAGAAGGCCGGAGCGTACAACGGCCGAAACGTAGTGAATATGGCAATGAAGATGAGGCTAACAGTCCGAGTAATGTAAATAATATAACTAATCTTAATACCTCATCTCAGAGATCAAATCAGCTGAAGAAGGCCGGAGCGTACAACGGCCGAAACATTTTGAATATGTCAATGAAGATGAGGATAACGGTCCGAATAATGTAAATAATGCAAGTAATCATAATACCTCATCTCAGAGATATAGACACGTATTGGTATTCTTTTATAAAGTTAGATGTGACATTTAAAATGTTATTTTTTTTCTTTCAGAATGCGAAATGATCTTTGAGATATATATATATATGTATATTTTTATACATGTATATCTGTGAAAAAGTTGATAATTTAATTTTAAAAGGTGCAACAGATAAGCCACAAATATCAACATTCAAAATTCTTATATTTTTACGTTTCTGTATAGTAATATAAATTATCATATCTTTAATATTTCTAACCTGTCGATTCTTCCACTGTTCAATTGAAACGCAGTTACAAGCAACGGAAAAATGAACAAGTTTTTAACTTGAACCTGCCTTTTGAATTTCAAAATCTCATCAGGTCAGTTTCTATTTAATCAACTTGATTCTGAAATACTCTTTCTGCGTTTTCTCTCAACGTTTTTTAGTCGAATGTCTACAAAAAAAGAAAAGAGGTAAAAAAAGGAAGCCTAATAATGAAAATAAGCATTCCCAGAATCTTCAAATAAATATTGGAAATATGCGAAAAGCCAACCTATTTTCCTGTCTCAGACGCCATTGCCATTCTGTTGATTCCATTGAAGAATTCGGGACCACGACGGAGCAGTGATCTCTCCGTTTATGCCAATATTTCAGGGGTCAAAACAAGTGACCGTAACTGTGGCTTTTGAAGTGGAATTTAGATTTTGATATTTGAGACATATTTGTTTCACTTTTTGTTCGACTAGTGATATTTCTCTTGATGTGGGTGAGGATTGGGCGTGGTAGGGTGAGTAGGAAAAAAACATGGGGGAGGCGCAGTAAGGAATGGCGTGCGATGAAAAGAAATATTTTTTTTATTATTTTTTTTTGTATTTTTTTCAACATTGGGATCTTCTTTCTCCTAAAAAATATATTCTGAAAGAAAGAGAAAAAACAGGAGGAAAAATGATAGAAAAAAAGAGAAGAAATAATGCGGAGTTTGGAAGAAGAAGAAGAAGAAGAAGAAGAAGAAGAAGAAGAAGAAGAAAAGAGAAGACGAGGATAAGGAAGAGGAGATAGCGATGGAGGGATAAAAAAAAGAAAGAGAAAACGAAAAGGCTAAAGTGGGGGAAGATGAAAAAGAGATCAAATGAAAAAAGGGGGAGAACTGAAGAAGAAAGTAGACGACCAAAATAAATGGAAAGGGAAGGAGGAGGAGAAAGCGATGGAAGGATAAAAAAGAAAGAGAAAAAGGATAAAGTGGGAGAAGAAGAAGAAGAGGTTAAATGAAAAGAGTGGGGAGGATTAAAGAAGAAAGTAGAAGACCAAAATAAATGGAAAGGGAAGGCGGTGAAAAAAGGATGAGGAGGAGGGAAGGGAATAAGACGGAAGGAGGAAGAGAAGGAGGAGGTGAGGAAAAAGACGTAGGCGAGGGATGGAGAGAAAGCAATAGCATAAAATGGACGACTGGAAGGAGGAGGTTAATATAAAGCTGTATTTGAAGAAGGAGGCGGAAAGTGAGAAGAAAAAATTGGAGGCGGAGAAGAGGAGAGACGGAGGAAAAGGTGAAGGAAAAGGTGAAGGAAAAGAAACAGTGGGAGGATAGGGGAAGAACTAAGAGAAGAAGGAGAATGATAAAGGCAGTGAGGAGAAGAAGATAAGAAAAAAGATGACAAGGGATGAGGGAAGAGAATGGTGCAGGATGAGTAAATATAATTTAGATGAGGTGAAAAAGGAAGAGAATTTAAATTATGAATAAAATGGAAGAATAAGAAATATAATATGAAGAAAAACAGGAAATGCAAAAAAGAACAAAAATGGAATGATATGAAAGAAATGGAATAATAATAATAATAATAATAATAATAATAATAATAATAATAATAAAAAATCTGCAACTTCTACGGGAAGGAAACTGAAAGAAACTGGTATGAACCCGACCCAGACCCGGTTACGGAGATAGGACCTGTTACAATTCTATGGGACTACACAATACACACTGACAGAACAATCAAGACCAATCGGCCAGATATTGTTATTAAAGACCACAAACAAAAACGGTGCCTCCTTATTGATATGGCAGTCCCTGCTGACTGCAATGTATCTTTGAAGATATTCAAAAAGTTGTCAAAATACAAGGACCTTGAAATAGAAATCTCGAAAATGTGGCATATGAGAACATCAACAATCCCTGTTGTAGTTGGAGCCCTAGGACTAGTTGGAAAAGATTGCAGTAGACTAATTGAAGGGATTCCTGGAAGTCCATGCCTCAAGGAGATACCAAAAATTGTTCTGACAAGTACAGCCCACACCTTACGAAGGGCTTTATCTACGTAATTTTTTTTTTTTTTTTGTCAGTGGAAAGTGTCATGATGCCATTTCTAACCTTAGGTCCCTGAGCGGGACCCGGAAAGAAATGTGTAAACGCCAGAAATCAAAGAAAATAATAATAATAATAATAATAATAATAATAATAATAATAATAATAGTAGTGCACGGTATTGGCACCCACTGAACATAAAACCCAGTATGATAGAGTGGGCCAATATCTGCACTGGAAAATCTGCAACTTCTACGGGAAGGAAACTGAAAGAAATTCGTATGAACACCACCTAGACCCGGTTACGGAGATAGGACCTGTTACAATTCTATGAAACTTTACAATACACACAACTTAAACAAGGATACTGTTCAGAAAAAGATGCAGGAAATTTCGAAGTCGTCTGGGTCGGGGGGCATTTTTGTATCATTTTGGTAAATATATCTGTTGAAATGCGATGTCAACGTTATTTTCATTTTTCCGGAATTTAGACGATAATTTATCCATCGCACCCTGTATGCAACCGTAAGTTCTATACCAACAGTTTATCTTCTCGCACTTCTCGCTTGTTGATCTCTTTCCGTCTCCATGCATTCTAACCAACTTTGATTTTCTGTAAATCAAATGCAATGTCAATCGTTATATTCGGTTTTCCTGATATCTCTTCCATTTTTACCGTTCCTTAATGTTTCTCCATTTTTTTCTTCTATTACTTTCACTAGCTCCTTGCGTCTTAGTGGCTTTACTACCTTGCATGGGATACTATGATTAGGAGTAATATTATGATTTAAGATATTATGATTAAGATACGATTAAAAAAGAGAGAATTGGAAATACCTTCAATCGGAGACCGTTTCAACAGACAGTGTTCAGCCACTTTCAAATCTCTCTCAATCCCATCAGGAAATTTATCCGAAGCTTTTATGAAAACTTCTTAGCATATTGCGCAATTTTGCCTGTGATGCATGTACGTGGTATACACTTATTAGACCGGATGTCTTCAACGGTAGATTGAACTTCGGATATTTGCGGCCTTCCGTCCCTTTGCTGGCGTGATTCTCTCTTACTCAATAATTTTAAAAATAATAATAATAATGACAGCCCAGGAAAACAAAATAAATCACCTTGACCCTTCTAAAAGTGAATAATAAAATAGTGAGGATAATAGGAAAATATGGCGGATCATAACGAAGGACGTTTTTGCTTATGCTTAATTAAACAAAAATGGCAGCTATTGACAACATCATCAACAAAAGAAGTTGAAATGGACAAAGGTCTTCTCAGGATATGATCTGGTCCTTTTAGTAGTATTTGGGGGATTTTATCGAGAGATAGCGTATCAAAGATTTTGTTGATTTGTTCTTGAATTCCTTTCTTGATCAGACCCGAAGCTCCAACCACAAAAACAAGAATAGTTTTAGTTTTTAAGTCTGAATTTTAAAAGATGATTTTGTGTCTCACTTTCTCTGAAATAAATTCGATTTTGTATATACTGTATTGATTTGAATAGTTAAATCATAATCTTTTTCACAGTTCCGATTGGATTAACGAGAAAGTAAGGTTTTCATGTGCCCCATATTATCATTATTATTATTATTATTATTATTATTATTATTATTATTTAATTTCCATTGATTTCTGGTGTGTACTCATTTCTTTTCGGGTTCAGAGACTTAAGGTTAGAAATGGCGTTATTTTCCACTGTGCAATTAAAAAAAATTAAAAAACAAAAAACTTCAACACAAATATTTTACATCAATACAGTTGTGGCACCATTTACGAGGCAGAAAAGGAAAAGAAAGAAAAGAAGGCAGAAAGAAAGGCGAGACGAATCGTGGGTGATCAGCAGAACACACACACGGCTAAGAGACAATGAATATATTGATAAGTAACCATGGCGAAAGGGTGTCATTACAATGACAGGGAAATTCTGGGTAAGAAGAAAGGGAAAGAAAGAAAGAAACAGATGTGTTTTGATAACGGCTGTGTTATCTAGGAGTACGTAAACAAAACGACTGGTCGACTGGCCAACGAAAAATTCAACTGAAAACGTTAATTTTGATAATTGACAAAACACAGGTGTAACTACAGGACTTTGGGTAGATATGAAAAATTAAAAGCCACACAAGCCGTGTCCGCTGACCGATTTTTTTTTTCGACGAAACAACTTTGGCCTGCGATAATAAAATTATGTTATCAGAAATATGTACCGAAGGAAAATGAATGGGGACCCAGAAGAGTTTTTTCTTCTTCCTTGGAGGCGACAGACTAACTGAAACTTTAGAGATATTTCTTTTTTGAGGCCGTGTTAAGAAGACCACCCATTTTGATAATTAGCGATAAAATACCTGACAAAACCACGTGTAGAACAAAAGTTGTCATATTGTCCGTTTGCGGCTAGAAAAATGATAACGGCGATTAAAGCGGAAGAAAAGGGAAAGAGAAGAGATAATTTTTTTTAGTTAAGCAAGATATTTTTTTCCCCGAAACAAAGCCGCGGATTGTTCACGCCCGACTAAGACATCATTGGTCAAGTGATGATCACGTGACGCACGAAGGAGGAGGAAAGATACCCGACTAAGACCTCATTGGCCGAGTGGTGATCACGTGACGCACGAAGAAGGCTGTCGACGCCTCATCCAGAGTATAAGTATGAGAAGCTGCTACGAGGAAGTGGGAGGCAGTTCACGCCCCTCAGAAGTATGGTGAGAAAGTGGGAGGAGGAAAGTTTCCCAAAAATGGAAAAGAGTGGAAAATCCCTAACCAGAAATAAAAGAGGTGGATATGTATTTAGAATTATCGAGGAACCCCCGACGCCGACAGACCCACCCCGGTTTTGGTCGGCGTCAATAAAAGCGAGGCCCCAACAGGCAGAAATCAGAGTTCGGGCTCCAGCGGAGAGTTGAGTTTCCAGAGTTGAGTTCAGCTGACCAAGATTCACGCAAATTCCGAACTCCTCTTCAACCCAAGAACAATTATTTTGAAGAGCGACTTAGAACCAGACCACCGAAATAAGTTTTTTCTCGACTTTCGTCCAAAGACACACCGAAACGCCAATTTCTTAGAGAGCAAACAACTTGAAGCGTTAAAACTCGCCTAACGGAAAACGACGTGTCACAATCCATAGAACGGGTCGGGAGATAGATGCAGTCATATGTATCGAACAACTAGACATAAAGTTTGTTACCTTTTTCTTTGATACTTTGAACTTTTTGAGTTTTCATTTTATTTTCTTTTATGCATATTTGTGTAGTATCACCCCCGTTGAACTCAGTTTGCATTACGGGCCCAACCACTGTTTGATCTCGTCTGCCTAAGATCAATTCACAACGTAGGTAGGCGGACTGGAGATCAATGCAGTTACCTAGATAACCAGGCGTTGGAAGCGAATTGGGAACGACGAGGCTGATATAAAATCTAACCAGATTCCCACCCGAATCACCAAAAGGTTAGAACGTCACATTTGGGTGCCGCGACCGATACCAAGCCAGTTGGTCGTCAAGGGACGAGACAACACGACTGACGCGACAGGCGGACGTCACGTTTGGAGCAGCGACACCCGAAAGGAGCAGCGAGGAGCGAACAACTGGCGCCGCGGCGAAGACGTCACAATTGGTACTGTTTGGGGACGTCACAACTGGCGCCGTGGTAGATCAGGATAGAACGTCACAGTCGGCGCTGCGACCGGGGGACGCCGTCACATTGGTTATAGTTACCGTTTGGGATTGAGTGGAAGGAAATCTCTTCAAATCTCAGGTACCTTCGACAGTATCCAAGCAAAATCATCATGCCGTGTTCAGGAAATCGAATCATTCATATTTCCTCCGTATTTCATTTGTAAAGAGGAAGCTCCACACAGGCAAACTCGTACTTGATGGAAAAGATTTCCCCGTGAATGCTTCCCTTAACATTTAAAGTCTTAATACTTCAAGAGGCAATCGCTATCTAGGCTCTTCATTCTCATTATATTATTCTTCTTTCTATCTCCTCTTAGATTCGTATCACCCCCCATTCCCCACCCCATTTAGCAACTCTCTACCAATAATAGCTCTTAACTTTCAAATTAGAGAACTTTAAAATCCTCCAATCCTGGATTCAGTTTATTTTTTCCCCATTTATATTTTTCCTTGTCTCTAAACAACAGCCACCTTCTTCTTCTTCTTCTTCTTCTTCTTCTTCTATGTCCTAAACCCCTTTGGTGGGTGAAACGATAATGAAAAGTTTGCTGCTTAATAAATTATCTTTGGCCTCATTAAATGCCCATGCATCGAGAATATGTCACTTGGTAGTTTTAGATAATTATTAGTTTAAGTGGAAAACATAGGCACTTACACACAAATATATATATATATATATGTCTGTGTGTCTGTCTGTGCGTGTGTATGTGCGTCTGTCTGTCTGTGCGTGCGTGTGTGTGTGTGTGTGTGTGTGTGTGTGTGTGTGTGTGTATGTGTACGGTCACAGAAAAGCGATACTTAGTTAATTATTTTTTTTAATGAAAGAACATTCTTTAAGCTTTTATTTTAGCTTTAATTTAAAGCTAATAGATAAAATTTAATATTTTAAATAAGCAAAATACTTTCCTGTATCTTAAAACCAATTTAAATTGACTGGAAGGAGATTTTGTTTTGAAATTAATAAAATTGCTGATTTTAGTCATTTTTTATACATCTTTCATCACAGGTTAATTCACTTTATTAAAAAAATCTTTCAAAAATAAAATATTATTTTCTGAAATGTTATTTGAGGAATATTATTAGATTTAAAGATTAATTAATCTGATTTGAAGAATAGGAAATGTAGTTTAAAATTTTGTAGAAATATATTTTTAACACGTTGGAAGCTGTTTATTTAAGGTGTTGACAAGTTGACTGCTTGAATGAGTGAAGGAAGATTAGCTAATTTTTTCTACGGTGTATTTATCTGTAAAAATACTTGAGGAATATGACGTGAGCGCAATTTTAATATAATTTTTCATTATTCAGTAATCTTAAAAAGTTAGGAAAATATTCTCTGTAATCTAATTTTAGATAGTTTGCCTTTAAATTTATTATAGTTGTCGCGTTTATGTTCTGATAATGTCGGCTAGAAACGTTTAAATCACTACACAAAAACTTTCACGTTTCAATACTTTTATTGTCCTTCTTCAGGCGATGATAAATGTTACGAACAGTGAAATTTTACTCCATCTGCTCTTTTCTCATTTGTATATATATATATATATATATATATATATATATATATATATATATATAATAAAAAAGGCTTAAACACTAATATTCCATGGTCATAATTTATTACATTGGAATCGTAAATGATCAATTCATCAGACCTACAAACTCAAAAAGAAAACAGAAAAACAACTCCGGAAATAAAAAATAAAATTTAGAGAGAAAGTATGAGAATGTGGGACGAATGTTCGAGCTATGGAGATGGGTAACAGACGAGAGAAGGTGGGATACTAAGCCTTAACAGAGAGAAGTTTTAAAGAGGGGAGTCAATGACGGTTTAAGTGATAGAAATATGAATGTTGTTGGATGTCTAATATATTAAAGATGTAACCGGAAAGGGTACATTTTGTGGTGACATACACACAGCAATAGACGATCTAATCTTAAAGATCAGAAGAAGAGGGAGGGAGACAAAATATATATGTATGTGTATGAATGTATGTATATATATTTATATATGTATGTGTATATGTGTATATTTACCACTAATATTATATATATATATATATATATATATAATGCCTGAGTAAAGAAGGACTCAAACGTCACGAGCGACATCACATGAACTGCAATGTTAATAACTGCATTGAGGATGGTCTGAATATATATAGACGTTATAGAAAAGAGTGCGCTTCAATGGGAGGCCTTAGGTGACACATGAAAATTCATAACAATAACAAGGAAGCAGCAGCAGCATATGTCATTTGTTTTTTTCAGCTGTAACCTTTTAGTAAACAATGCCAGTCGCTGCCTGGCTTAAAGTGTCATATAAAAGCAAGACATGTTTAGATTGATCAAGCGATAACAGTATTCGAGTACGACTTCATGGCCATCATCTTTTATGTTATACCTTACGTTATATATATATATATATATATATATATATATATATATACACACACACACATATATATATATATATATATATATATATGTGTGTGTGTGTGTGTGCAAAATTAAAAAAGCTCAAACACTAATATATTTTTTTGTTATATTATCATTCTGTCCTGGACATTGAGTTCTACCTGGATTCTATCTTGGAAATTTATTTATATAGATTTTTTATATATATATATATATATATATATATATATATATATATATATATATATAAGTATATGTATATTGACCACTAATATTATCTATCTATCTATCTATCTATCTATCTATCTATCTATATATATATATATATATATATATATATATATATATATATATATATATATATATAATAAATTAACTGATTTAAAATATGTTTTCGCTATATATAGTCGCTTGAGGATGAAATGGAACTAATGTTTTTAATTTACTTTACAAAATTGAATTCGAAGCTTTTAGCTTTCATTTTTGAAACATGGTTAATACTGTGTAGCGAAAAAAATCAGTTAATTTATAATATTAATGCTCTGTAAATTTACATTGAGCACTATTTAGTAAAAATAAAATACCAATAAGAACACCGGATTATATATCTTACTGTTCTTTTCTTTTTTTTTTATATATATATATATATATATATATATATATATATATATATATATATATATATATATACAAGTATAGGTTTGTATGAGGAATGAATTCCAATAAATAAAAATGTTATTCTTATAAGATTGATCAATAATGAGTAGAGCAAATATAATTTATTCGAAGATTTTAACATGTTATAAAGTCACTACAAACATAGCCATTTTGTTTCAACACTTCCGGTGCCTTCTCAAATGATGGGGTTGGATGTAGAATTCAACATTCAACACCATCACTTAAGATACGAGAAGTTGTGAAGGAAAATGTCTATTTTGTAGTGATTTTAACATGTTTACGTTTTAATTTTTGAATAAATTATATATATATATATATATATATATATATATATATATATATATATATATATATATATATATTCATATGTTTCACAGAGAGAGAGAGAGAGGAGGAGAGAGAGCTTCTATAATACATTTTTATATTACATATCTGAGGCTAATTGCTGTGCTCTCCTCGTCTGGCCAAAGGCTACCTTAGTTGAATAGTCAAAGAGAATCGAAATCACTGCATCCGTGACTTTGGCTTCGACTAGAATTGTGGAAATGGCTTGTTCTCATCTATCCCCGGGTTATGTCTCCTGAAATATTTCGACAAAGTAACTAATTCCTCGCACGCATCGGTAGTCGACGGAGACAAAAATTAATTAAAAGGCGTATCTCAGTTTGCCAGCCATTATCAGCCAACAGCTATGAAATAAACCGCTGACATTTTATGGTGCAATTTACCCCACACTCGCTCTCATTCAATCTCTTCGTCTTCCCATCTCTTTTTCTCTCTCTCATATTCTCTCTCACATTTTCTCTCTCTCTCTCTCTCTCTCTCTATATATATATATATATATATATATATATATATATATATATATATTAGTTAGGCAATATATCTTAATTCAAACATGTTTCACTAAATAATATAGACATAGTATGTCTATTTCTTTTATAATAATCATCTCTAGTTTTCTGAGTAGTTACTTGTAATACTAGAACATTACCAATTCTATTGTAATAGACTCTCCCACACATAATAAGTAGTAGTAGTAGTAGTAGTAGTAGTAGCGGTCGCCAGTTGGGCTCAGTGTAGTTGAGTGAGTCAGTCGATGTCGGACATTGAAGTATCAATCAACTACAACTAGATTGCTGCGTCATTAATTATTGTTTCAAGATCCTAACGTTTTGTACGTCGGACCCATTTAAGGCCGACTTAGGGAAATACAAGCCTCCACTGTGAAAACTACTTTACAACATTTCTTGATTTAGAAATTTATCAAAGATGTCGCCGATCTTCTTATTAACCCAACTACTTTCGATCTTCTCCGAGATAATTTTCAGGGGTGAATGGCGAAGAAAAACTTAATTTAACTCTAATCAAGTAGTCGACTGTTGAGGCATTCCTACGTACGGTAATGGATATGTCCCCATTCACATAAATACAGGAGTATATACTGTATGTTGGTCTGCAGTTGGAAATTCGCATCCAGCTGTGTTGGCAAAACTCTCTGCCTCCGAGCGGAGAGGATCCCCAGACGAGGCTATGTCGAAGAGCAGCGTTCCGTCTCGGGAAACAGCTATCCGACCCACTTTCATTCGGTGTCTACGGGCTCGGATAACTCACATTAAATTCTGCCTTGTGCTACATCTGACTGCGTGGAGCGGTTGGTAGATATCCTGGAGTTGGAGATTCGTCTCCAGCTGTGCTGAACAAACTCTCTGCCTCCGGACAGAGAGGATCCACAGACGGGGTTATGTTGAAGGGCAGAGTCTCGTCTCGGGAAACAGCTACCCGACTCCGTTTTATATGAGGTCT